GTTATCTGAATTTGTATATAAGTGTAAGCTGTAATCATTTGGTACGAATGAAATTCATTTCAACCATTTTCTCATGCTAATTCTCTTATTCACATTTGACATCCCCCTGCAACTCTTCATGGCATCAGAGCAATCTATTGGAGCTTTTGCACAATGGTAGACCAATCAAATTTTGCAATAGATTTGGAAAGTCAGTGTGCTCACGAGAATTCATCTGGCAACGCGGATTCATCGATGATTCGCCCATTACTGAAATGGCAACAGGAGACAATAATTCTCTTCTCAACTTATTAATTTCTGATCCGGCAAGTCCATATTATCTCCACTATGGAGATAACACTGGTATGCAACTCATTTCTGTTGTTCTCAATGAATAAAACTATTCGACGTAGACTCAAGCTATGGTTATGGCATTGAGTGTTAAAAACAAAGAATGATTCATTGATGGATCCATAAGCAAACCGAACAAGGATGATCTGCTGTTCAGTGCATGGAAAAGGTGCAACCATGTTGTTTCTTCCTCGATCATAAATTCTATTCCTATGGAGCTCTATCCTAGTGTAATGCATAAAGATTCTGAGAGGGGGATATGGAATGAGCTGTGAGATAGGTATAATTACCAAGGAAATGGAACACGCATCTATGAACTGAAGAAGTAGATTGCTTCAATTTCACAGGAAAATGGATATGTTAGTTCCTATTTCAACATATTCAAAGGACTTTGGGAAGAGTTAGACAATTACAGGCCGGAAGTTAACAGCAATTGTTATAAGGATGAGGATCAGGTTATGCAATTTCTCATGAGGTTAGATGATTAATTCTTTGATGTTAGAAGCTAAGTTTTGTTGATGGATCCTCTACCTTCATTGAACAAAGTTTTTGCACTCATTCTACAAGATGAGAGGCAAAGGGATATTGCTACTAAGAAACAGCAACATTTCGAGGCTGCTGCATTTGCCAATAAAATGATGAATGGATCAAGTGCTAATCAGAGGTATAATTCATTCAATTCAATTCAGAGGAAGGACAAACCTATATGTAGCCATTGTAGGATGTTTGGACACATTAAAGGAAAATGTTACAAGATAGTTGGTTATCCTCCAAGGCATAAATTTGCTAGAGAAAAGTCACCTATTGCTGGTGCTATTGCTCAAATTCCAGCTGACAGGAGGCTTGAGATTCCTAGCCATCGATCTAATGTGCTTTTTACACCAGATCAGTGCCAACAACTTTTGGCCATGCTTGTTCCCCAATTACAAGCACAATTATCCACTAGTAACTCTAAGTCACAGGATGCATCATTGGCCTCATCAGCCACTCTTGAAGCATCTTCATTCTCAGGTAATCAATTTTGTCTTAATGGTGATGAGAATGAAGTTAAATGGATCATTGATACTGGGGCGTCTGAACACGTGGTATGCTCTAACAAGTACTTAACTGAAGTCACGGCTTGGGCTAATGCGTCTGTTAGGCTACCAAATGGAGATCATGTAGATGTTACAAATGTTGGCACAATGAAGTTGTCTGATGACTTGATTTTAACTGATTTTCTTGTGGTGCCATCTTTTAAGGTTAATCTCATTTCTGCAAGTAATTTGGTTATCAAACACCACTATTTTCTGATTTTTATGTATCACACTTGCCTTGTGCAGGATCTTTTAACATGGAGGACGATTGGGATAGGTAGCCTTGAGGATGGATTGTACCATTTCCAGTTCCAATCCCTTGATCATCAGAAAAATTCTAACTCCAACAGCAAGCCATCTATCAGTTCTCACCAATCATCAACGCACTCTGTCAAACATTCGTGTGTCCCCGTTTCCAATCTTCATTGAAATAAATTTACTGCAATTTCTTGT